TTCTTCCTCCTATATGATTAACAAGGAAGCAAGAAAAAGCACTTTGAGGTTTACAAAAAAATATGAGCCAGCAACTAAAATTTCACTGAAAATCGTAAGTTTCACTCTCACTGACACTTTCAAGACCTAATTTAATTAGAAATGAGTTATTACAAATCTAAAAATACCAATTTCAAAGACACTTCCATTTAAAACCTCTTTATTATTTGTTAAGGTGTCTTTTTTCAGTTCCAAGATACAATGCTGTCCTTAAACTAAAGTATTCAACAAAATTATCGCACATCCTATCTATGACTTTCACTCTATCAAAACTATCGTACGTCCTACCTATGACTATAATTGGAAGAAAAGTACAATAAATACATGAAAGCAATGGAAGCTTTACAAAAAGTTGACATAACTAAACATGTACTCATGATTTTGGAGGAATAATTTGCTCTGCAACATGAAAAGACTGACAACAATACATGTCACACAGACGAAGGTACCCACCTTCAATCCTCAACTGTAGCAGTTTAACGAAAGAGAAAAATGAAGACAAATTAACGGAAAAAAATTACATCTCGTTTATGATGTGGCCAGCTGTCATCCAAATATGAATATTGTATACAAAAAAAGTTTTTCGCCTCATTTTTAGTAAAAAGACATGCACTCTGACACAATGAGGGTCTTTAAGTGCTAGAAAAAAAAGAAGACGACAGACAGATAATTGCATATAAAAGGAAGACGAAAGGCCTACAACATATCACACCCTCAAACCACCCACGCCACACAGTTTACATATGTACGGCCGATATTGATCTGATACAATTTATAGGTGCATAAGAGCATGCCCACATTGATTAACAAGCACAAAAGCAGACACAAGACAACATAGCCACTAACAGAGGAGCAAACAAATTACTCTGAATCCAGACATGCAAAAGGCAGATTTGACACTAAATTCACACATGATGTGAAAAGAACCAAGACAAATCTCAGGAGCAGCTACCAAATAAAAAGGAACATAAAACCAAACAAAACACAAGAGCAAAGCAAATTATAACCTCCAAATCATACATGCATAAATTCCCTCTTTGGTTCTTAGAATAGAGCCTCGTTTTATGAAAAAAAAAGGCTTTAATCTTCTGACCTGGACCCAGCCCTTAGTATGACTGGCAGAGCCAGATACGTCTTTTTTTTTTTTGGTACAAATCTTTAATTCTCAAAAGCAAATTTTCAATGAATTTTCCTACAGCTTGTTCCATTCAAAGTAGGCCAGGGTGTACTCAAGCCATTTTTTTGGCCTTTTTATCCATTTCAAACTTCTGTGTTCACTTTCCCCCAAGCCCTTGAAATAAAATGAAAATGCTTTTTCATAGTATTGACAAGAAAAAAATCCATCTCTCAAACAGCGAGATCTTAGAAAGTGAAGTTTTTATGTGGGTTTTTTTGTTTTTTTAAACTTAAAATTACTGAGTCCCTTTTTATGATTAAAAGACTGTGATACAACCTACAGGACTAATTTCGGTCAAAACTAGTCATGCGAATTCCCACCTGCATACAGAAATTTATTTTAGCTTCCTGTAGTGAGTGTGAGCCAAAATCTTGACATCCGATTAAAATCTACAACTTTATAGAGACCTGTGGTGCAGTATTATTTTAAAGATTTGGTCTGCTAAACTTTTCTCCTTTTTACTTTTTTTCCAATAGAGATTGGAGCTAAGATAAGATGCCCATTATTTAAGACACAAGATTTAAAAAGAATATAAATCCACTGACAACTTAAGATAATCTGACAAGAACTGAAAAAGAAAACAGCCACTCCAAAATCCAAGACCAGGAAGGGGAGTAAACAATTTGCAAAGAAAATCTCAAGAGAAAGAGACCCTTTTTCTATCGAGATCAAAACAAAAGGGTGGAAAACCATTAAAAACACAATATATAAATGAAATCAATACATTCAAAAGGCTAAAAAGGTCATGCAATGTTCTCAATTATTACATCATACAAAAAAAGCAAATGTGAGTGCTATGAAACAGAAGGTCTGATTTTTTTCAAAGCATACAGGTCCTTAATATCCCTACCTTAACTCATGTTATGTGTAAGTACTGCAAGCAGTCTTAATTTCTTCATCATTATTTTACTATCTTAAACTATATGACTATATGCAGTGGAGTCCGCTTAATTCGGACATGTTTAATCCTCAAAATAGCTGTAAACCGAAAGAAAAATAAATCCATTCTCATTTTTTTTCTATTTCAAGCAATATGCTTTAAAAAAAAAAAAACGGGGCTAATCCGAGGAAAACGAAGTGGTGCAGATGCTGGCTTGAGCAGACTCCACTACATCTGGATTAACAAATAACAAAAGTAAAGATAGTCTTGAATCCTTCGATTGTGAAAGATCTTTTAGTCTGAGCATGTATACACCAAACTGAATAAGAAGTGTGCCAAAATATAAACTCCTAAAAAACCCGAAAGACAAAATTTCCCAGCATCTGTCAAACAGAAAAGGGTGCATGACACAAAAATAAGATTAACAGGAGTAACAAAACAAAAGTGAATAATATGTTCATGATGGGAACTGCAAAGTAGAAACTATTGTTAAGAATTTTCATTAATTTGACATGGAAGTCTGATTAACTCTAAATGATTCATTCATATGGAGTGTCACTTGAGGCACACTGTGAACCCAGTCTCTGACAACCTGCTCCAACAACTGTAACACAATCATGTTTTTGAGTATGTGTAGGATCAATGACAATGTGGTCATCACCTTATCAACATCACTGTGTTTTGATGAAATGAAATCAGAAAACGTTTTTCTAAACAAGAAAAAAAAAGAGAAGAAAAAATCACTGATATTGATAAAGATGTCAGGAACACTGGAAAGAAAGCATAGATGTATGCTTCTGGACAGAAACAAAGCAAAATATATTTTGTAAAGTACACTCAGAAAACAAAGAACATTGCTATTCTCAACTGAAAAGGACAGAGACCACAAAGACTATCCCCAAGATGTCCAACTACAAAGCTTTTTAAAAAAAAGTAATATCGTTAAATACTTAAATATGTCTGGATGCTGTGATATATAATTTACTGTTAAAGCAAACCCATAAAATGAAAAGAAATAAAATAGCCACACAAAAAAACTTTGTTACTTTATAATCAAAAAACAGATTGAGTTAAAATCTTCAGCAATGCTCAAGAAGCACCATGAAGCTGTAACAACACGGAGAGTCTGTATGTTGTCCTGACTGATGAGAACAACAAAATAAAAATGCTAACATAGAGCAAGGCAATGTGAAAAAGAGAAACAATGAAGAATAAACAATAAAAAATATGGATATTTTATACCATCCCATGTGCACCTTGTAATTGTTTGTTTGATCGAGTGAAGAGAAGCACATCAAACAATAACAGTCATTTAGGGAAGGGAAAGAGTAGGACAGGTAGACAGAAACAACAGGGGGAAAGAAAAGAAGTAAAATCCAACAGCAAAGCCCTCCAACTGCTCGTTTCCATAAGCATCAAACTTCAAACAATAAGTATTGTAAAAGAGGTACCAACAATGAACAATGATAACAACGGCAGAGACAGAAAATTGTGCAATTCAGACCCTCTATCATAAAACAATCTGTGAGAAATAACACTGAACAAAGCAGAGAGACAAAATTTGTGTAAAAATGTCAGTTTTTACATTGCTTTCGAAATATTACCGATTTTTTTAAACGGCACAATTTAACAGCGTCTGACAATGAAAAATTTAAAGAATATAGAGATACATGACAGTATGATGTGAAGATTTTCTGCACCCCTTCAGGTAACTCTAGGAAAACAGACGTTTCTGAGTTCGAATTTTGGGAAACCAAGCTCCTTAGGACATCAGACATCACATCTGGTGAAACTTCATGACAAAATCCCTCAGTTCAACAATAACATAAAAGCAAATTATAAAACTTTTTGTACTCTGAATTATAAACCATTTCTTTCATTGAAAGAATGATTTCATACCATTAACGCACAGCCCTTTTATTCAACATTTGACACAAAATCCCTTCCAGAACTGTTGAGATAGAGCAAAGATCGCATAAAATTTATAAGCTTGTTCATACTGTGAATGTGACAATGAAATTTAAAATCTTTTTTACTCAGTGCCCAATATGTTTGTGAGTCAAAGTTAAAGACCAGGGAATGACATGGCCTGTTTTGGAAAATGAATCATAATGATAAGACTTAACGAGTCCATGTCAAAGGCTTCAGAGAAAGACATGGCCTGCCTTGGAAAGTAAATTATAAAACTTTTTTAAAGTAATTCTGCAAATCAAGAAATGAATTATTGTACTTCAAAGGATTCCAGCTGGTGAAGTCATGTGAACAATTCCTGAAGAAAGCAATACAATATGAGACCTTAAACTCTTCTTGAGAGTATCTACAGCAGTACTAAAATGCATGATGATATTAAATAAATAGAAACCTGAAATAAAACTGATCCATTAGAAGTTCATATTCAGCATGACAACCAACACAGAACAAAAGTATAACTGCAAATAGCTGAAGCAGTCAGTGAACAAGTCACAAAATCAGAATTGCCCCCAAAACACCAAATTTTGCAGCAAACACCTGACTATATTTTATTCTTTTTGGTGTGGGGAGGGGACTGACGACTCCTTTTTTTGAAAATATTTAAGGCTCACAAAACTTGATAGCAGTGATAGTCATCTTTAGAAGGTGGTTTTAGATTCATGCACAAAGAGACATTATTTGCCTGATTCTTCACTGGCTGTTGTCCTTATAAAATTTATGCAGCACCTAAAATACGAACTCTGAACATAGATTTGATTCCATGTTCACTAAGTGATTACATTCAATTTTTTTGTTTTAATCGTATTAATGGAAATATTACTATTGTCCAGCTCAATTAAATGCTACACAAGCTGACGTCGGAGACTATTAGGAATAGTGTAAATAAAATTAGAAGAAGGAAAGGGGGAAAGGGGAGTGAACAAAAACACTTACCAACTCCTCTAAATCTGTTGAGTTGGTAGACCCTGCTTTTGCAGATGTAGATTTCCTCTTGGTTCCTCCTTTTGTGTTACTTGATCGAGTCGACCTGCTCGGACCTGCCTGACTTTTCTTCCCTGCCTCCACTGGGACAGTTTCATCCCCAGCCGCTTTCAGAGAGAAGGAGGACAAGACAGCGTTTCTTGTGTTGTACATGGCCGTCCTCACGGTGTCGAAGCTAGGCAGGCAGGGCTCATCTTCATTGCCATAATTTTTATTGCTTTTCTTCCATCGTTCCCTTGCACGCTCTAATTCAGCATCGTACAAAACCTTGGGTTTCACGTGTGGGTTTTCCTTCACTGCCAGTTTTAAGGCATTTATGAAGATCTTGTACTCAGCACGACTTACATCTGCGTCATGGTTGTGTTCCCCAGAGTATCTCGTGATCTTCTCGGCAGGATCAAGTACACAACGTGCATTGCAGCATGGTATACTACAAACCCAATACGAGTATCCAGACGGACTTCTTCTACTCAATCTTAGGGTTTGATTTTCAACAACTAAGAAACGTGATCCTTGGCTGGTAGGAATAAAATGACAATTTTGAGGCACATTTTTATCAACTTTCGATGCACCAGATTTTCTGCCTTTTTTGCTCTTGGCACCTGAAGAGGCTGCTGAAGTTGACAAATCAATCCATTCGGAGTCTACCTGCCACTCTAGATCAACAGACGCATCATTATTATCCCTTGTCAAGTTTTCTGCACTTTCCATCTCAAAATCCATCTTGCAGGTTTCTCAGTCACAGAAATAGTTGAATTGAAGAAATCATTCATCCAATCATCTTTTCAATTTAAAATGTACACACAAGCTGGAGCTGCAAAAGAGAAAATAATGGTCTTTCAGTTTCAGTGGCTTTTTTTCTTCATTTTAAAATATACTCTACAGAGGGAAAATCTAAACATTCCAGAGTGTGAAAAAGGAGGACAACAAAATTATTGCCACATAATATATAACCTCCATATTCCCATTTAAAAAAAAATTAAATTATGATATTTACAGGGCTTGAATTAGGTGTTCAGGAGGGCAGGCAAAAATTGCCTCGGTGGCGCCTAAAAATCAGAGGGCACCGAGGCAATTTGCGAGGGCACCAAAGGCAAAAATTATAGGTGATCGTTTTGTTGATTAAAGTTTAAAGTTGGTAATACTGGATCGTGCTTCACAACATTTATATAAAAAACAATATAATTTATATTCTTGCTCTCTACAAAAGTATAGTTAAAGGAAAATTTTTTAAATCATGAATGAAAACTAAGTAAATCACAGTAAAATCACACCAATACAAAATCACTAAAAATCACAGTTTTAAATCAAATAATGATCACAAAATTGCATCTGACTTTTAAAGGTCTTTTTGACTAGATTCTAGCTCTTATTGATTGGATTAATATGAATGAATATATGACTGTTGATAATAGGGCACGATAGAAAACAGTAAATAACATGACCAATTACTGAATTAGGTAAGCCATTAATCTTTTGAGATTTAAACAGAGTGATTTACAGGCAGTGTAGTGATAAAATAAAAACAACGTATGAACTTGTATGAAAAAAAAATGAGGAGTGAAAACAACGTATGAACTTATATATATATGAAAAAAAAAAAGAATGAATAACTAAAAACTGCTGTCCAGCAGTTAAACAGAGTGAGGTTCTAACTATGATATAAATGAAAACAAGTTTTGAAAATAAAAGTTTTAAAATACACATATGTTATATATAAAAAGACCATAACAATCAGCATGTCATTTTATAACTTATGACTAGATCAGACAATATAGAAAAAGACTGGCTTACTGACTGTCCCTTATGGGGGGGGGGGGGGGGATTTTAAAAAGTATCACAAGATAATGATAATTTTAGAGAATAGTGTGTTGTTTTATCAGGACGTCTATTTGTGGGATACATCTCTTGCCACATCTCTCACATATGCAGTCTTCTTTTTTTTTTCAGACACTGCTGATGTTTGGCTATCATTGCTGTGAGTGTGTTTGCACTAGACATGACAAAATGGACACAATTGTCAAGCTGAGCAGTGTCTGACTGAAGCTTTGATGAGATTTCAGACAAGTCTAACAGGATTTCTCCATACCCCGCCCTCCCATGAGTGTATCTTAAAAAAAATGTTTAAATCAATAATTCCCCCCATTTAGGAGCCCCATAATTCGCGGTGTTCAGACTTTGAATGAACTTTGGTTACCCCAACAACCGGTGCTCACACGATGCCGAATCTTTTGATTAAGTTGTGATACGCGCAGGTTCACTGACCTGCCACGGTGGCGAACCCGACAAGACGCTTTTACAACGTTCTTTTCTTTTTTTTTTTCCACAAGTGACAGCACAGGACAAATAGTGATTTATTTTCATGGTGGCACATTTTTTAAAAACAAAAATACAAGGGCACGGCAAAAATTGCCGCAGTTGACCCTTTGATTTTTAGGGCATTACGGCAAATTGCAAAGGCACCAAGGCAGGCAAATTGCCGCGGTGCCGCGGTCTATTTCAAGTCCTGTATTTATACTGAGTCCCTTTTAGATCATTTTGTTGATGCAAGACCGTAAGAATTAATTCACACGTTTTTCGCCAGACTGACGCTTTGACAACGTGAAACTAGATGTTTTCGTTTCCTAATCCCACTTTCCAAGTTTTCAATAACAATAAAAAGTAAATAATGCATCATGTTAAAACGAAACAAAACTAAGGCACCGCTTCATAGCCGATACGTCTGCCAGGGGTGTGGACTTGCACCGAATCGGAGATACGTCCGGAAAGAGTTAAAAAGTCAGCCGGTTTTAGTCAGTGACGACAGTGACATACAAAACTTTGGCCAGCTTCAAGTGTTCCATCCTATGAGATGAAATAAAAAGGAAGCGCCCTAACAGAATTAGTCAGGATCGGATATGGGGTATAATATGGAAAATTGGATACGGTAACATGAGAAACAAGAGATGAGTGATGGGAAACAGAAGGTGGGATTCAGAAGATGGGAAAGGTCATAAAATGTGTATGACTGTATCGTACAGGGTCAGCCTGGTAACTGACACAGAGAAAAAATGACGGGAATTAACAATTATTCTTCGAAGTGCTATTCAGACTCGAGTCCGAAAAGCCGCTGGGGGTTATTCGGACTCAAATTCCAGTGCGTGTGCGCAATCACCGGTTGTACCGTAAGCGAGTTCTTCTATACTCGAGTCCGAATAGTCTTCCGTAGCTATTCGGACTTTGAACTACTAGTAGGCCATTACACTGCGTTTCTCGACTACAAAGGGATGAAAACATTTACAAGTACGGCTAGCCACTTCATATATTTTATCCTTTGTAAAGAAAAGACCACAGTTCGCACTGGGTCACCACGGTCGGCGTCCATTTGTTGTAAGTTCCTTGGCCAGAAACCGAGGAAGGCCAAGGTGGAATTGCTTGCCTGCTTCACATCCGGTGTGACCTAGTGATAGCGCACACGCAATGGAGTTTGAGTCCGAAGAGGCCTCGCCACGGAAGGTTATTCGGACTCAAGTCCGAATAGCTGCGGCCATTTATTAATAATATTATAATAATATTTTTAACAAACTTTTACAAACACCTCTCTCTCTTTCTTTCTG